AAATGCAATATACTAAATACTGAATACACAATCCTGAACTGTTCTCAAACTGATCTGGTCTCAGATCAAATTCCACTCCTGTCTGTACTGATCCATACCACTCTGCACTAACAGCAAAACTGCCCCTGACGTAGTGCTGCCGTTTGGAATTTTTCCCCCTACATGTGGTCCTGATTTCTAGGGTAGATTTAGAGCTTTGGCGTGTGCCTAACCTTTATATTCCTGCGATTCACCTTTCGTTTCACTGGATATGAAAATATTAATTCTAGGAGTAATGACAGAGCTGCAAGGGGCTCTAATATTGGTCATGCCATTAAAGGGACTGAGTGCATTACAGACACTACTTAATGCAGTGTGAGGGACTTTTGTTACCCTGATTTATTTACGTGCATTTCAAACTTACAAATTCTTGTGCTGATATAAAGTCAGACCCATATGTGAATCTGATTGCAAGACATATGCCAGATTTATTGAGTGTGTAAATGTTATATGAATTATTGATCTTAAAGGTGGTTTTGCATATTTGGATGGCAGCAAAGCGTATCGTTTCCACATGAAAGCCGAAAAAAGAATCCTTTCCATTATAACTGGCTGTTTAAACAAACGTTTATTACGAAACATATTCAAAGCAGTTCTAAAATGTCACATTTTTCATGACTGAAAATATCTCATCTGCTTATTTGGCTGCATAGAGCACACATGTTTCTGTCGCATACTAGGTACCTCTCAGTAAAAGCAGCAGGTTTTTGTGAGCGATCCATTCTGAGTTCTGTTTATGAGACTGACTCTGCAATTCTCTTTCAGACCTATATGTCCCTGGGGTGAAACAGAATGACTTTAATGGCTGCCAATCCTCTCTATGCATTAAAAGAGGAGAAAATGTCTCAGTAGTTTTGGATTCCTAATTAAAAAGGCCACACAGTCTAGCGGACGTTGGATTTTATTTAATAAGACTCAAAATTCCTGTTGTGTCTCATCAATTGCAGTAAAACTTTCATTAAACTCTCTGACAAGGCCAAGAAATAAAGGAGTGAAAAATATTGTGCATGCTGTGCAAATAAAAGCTGTGTAATTACAGCAGTGTCTGAACAGCAGGCCACACAAATACATCATTTCAATACATTTGCATTCAAAGCTGTGTTGAATATTAGCACTTTAAAAAATGCTGGTAAAGACATTCAAACATTTAAAAGACAAGTTTATCATTATAAATACAATTTGGGTGATTACAGTTTGAGAAACTCCTCAAAGCTAACTATTTGTAGAGAACAGATATGTAAAGAGCCATAAGTCATATAAGGCCATATTTATTTGAGTGATGTAACCATACTCTCAGTACTCATATCCATCAGATGTCAAAAACTTGTAATATAAAATGTGCATGCATGATAACTATTTCTTTTATGTTGGCCAGATGCAGAATGCATTGCAATTTTACAGTATATGCAATGTGAGTGTAAATGTTTGCAAACACACAACTAACAGTCAAGCAGGACACAAATGATCACTGATGTACAAAGGTCATTGTGGCTCAGTGCAAGGTTAATTTAGTTATTTAAACCATAAATAGATAAATAAATAGACATTTAATAAAACAAACAAAAATGTCAAACAAACAACACAATTATTAGAGCTTTAAAATGATTACATTTTAAATCAAAATGAAACAATTTAAATCAAAATTTCAGTGACATTAAAATAACACTGCAGTGTCCTCTTTAAAGTCAGCATGAAATGAAAATTCACTCTACTTATTATCTAAGTTCATGCTATTGATATTATTGTGAGTAATTCATTTGTCCACGTTTCATTTGGGGGGGAAAAAATGTTGACCTCATAATATTGAATCAAAATATTAAACTGGACCTTCCAGTGAAAACAGACTTATCTATGTGACATATGCAGGACTTTTGTTGTTTACTCCTATCATTTATTCTGCTGAAACTCAAAATTCAATCAACAACTAATGCATCCAAGTCCCCGCATTATACCCCTTCTTTTTGATAATCCATAACACTTGGATGTACTTGGATCATAATACGGAAGAAATTATGTTGCTACTTGCATTTAATTGCGACTTTAAGATTCAGATCTTGTGTATATATAGTGGGTATAGAAAATAATCACCCCCCCCCCCCAAAAAAAAACCAACTTTTTTTGCTTTGCCGCCTGAAATGAAGACTGACACAGTTTTTGTTTTATCCAGCTGTATTTACCAAGTGCAACTTATGACATCCAAGTGAAAGATATAACTTCATCATGTCAGAAAAAAAAAAACTGAATCACTGAGCTGGAAAAAGGATCACCCCCTTGCCCCACTTTTCTTTGAAGAACTGTGCAAGTTCAGTTCAATTGTATGGTGATCGTTTGTGGACTGCAGACTTCAAGTCATTCCACAGATTTTCAATGGGGTTTAAGTCTGGGCTCTGACTAGGCCATGCAAGGAAATGTACCTTTTTCTCCTTCAACCACTGTGTGCTCAGTTTTGCTGTGTGCTTTGGGTCATTGTCACGTTGGAAGGTAAACCTTCTTCCCATTGACAACTTTCTGGTAGGGGCAGCAGATTTTCCTCAAGAATTTGATGGTATCACATTTGTGTAATTGGACTTTTGACTCAAAACCTATATCTCTAGTTTCTGAGGTATAACCAAGTTGCCTGTGTGACAACTATCCCCGGCCCCCCTCATTATACAGTGGGCATAGAAAAGAATCACCCCACTTTAAAATAATCACATTTTGTTGCTTTGCAGCCTTTGCTCCATCCCTTTTCCTTCTATCCTGACAAGTGCTCCAGTCCCTGCTGCAGAGAAACACCCTATAACAGGATATTACCACCTCCATACTTTACTGTAGGAATGGTGTTATTTGGATGGTGAGCTGTATTGGATTTCCACCAGACATTTAATTTGGTGTTGAGGCCAAATAATTAAGTTTTAATTTTAGTCCCATCTGCCTCAGAATCTTCAAGGTGCGTTTTGGCAAAGCTCAGTCGTGATTGCATGTGACCTTTCTTGAGGAGTTGCTTTTTTCTTGCAACCCTCCCATACAAGCCGCATTTGTGGAGAATTTGTGATATTGTTGTCACATGCACACAATGACCATTCTTTGTCATAAATTCCTGCAACTGCTTCAGAGTTGCTGTAGACCTCTTGGTAGCCTCTCTGACCAGTTTCCTCCTGGCTCTTTCATCCAGTTTGGAGTGATGTCCCGATCCAGGGAGGGTCTGTGTTGTACCAAATACCTTCCACTTCTTAATAATAGACTTCACTGTGCTTAGACATTGATAAACCCTTGAGATTTCTTTGTATCCATCTCCTGAGTTGTGCCTGTCAACAACTTTATCCCAGAGATCTTTTGACACTACCAAGGACTGAAATGCTCCAGAAAAGCTCTTTTCATGCTGAGAAAATCAAAATGACCACAGCTGATCATTTTAGGAGAGGGGCGGGGGGACTGGGGATAGTTGTCACACAGGGACTGGAGTACTTGTCAGGATAGAAGGAAAATGGATGGGGCAAAGGCTGCAAAGCAACGAAATGTGATTATTTTAAAGGGGGGTGATTCTTTTCTCTACCCACAGTATAATGAGGGGGACCGGGGATAGTTGTCACACAGGCAACTTGGTTATACCTCAGAAACTAGAGATATAGGTTTTGAGTCAAAAGTCCAGTTACACAAATGTGTTTTTAGACTCATATGGAAAAAGTTTTAAAGGGGTCCTATTATGCTCTTTTACAAAGTCTTGATTTTGTTTTGGGGGTGTACTAGAACAGGCTCTCATACTAGGTTGTTCGAATAACACATTATTTTTCACATATTTTACATTATTACAACACCTCTCTCCCCAGTCTGGCATGAACGGCCATAGTTCCTGTATCAAATGAAGGCCCGCCTTCTGAAATACGAAATGTGCTGTGATTGGTTAGCTGGGCCAGTGTATTTTGTGATTGGCAGCACTCGGCGCCTGGTCGGGAAATGTCATGCCCCTTACCATAGCCGCCCGCGAGCTTCAGCGTAAATATTGCGTCAAAATCAAATCAATCTGAGTGCGATTTAAACCCGGATGATTGTAACCACTCTAAGTTCATCTGCCTTGGGAAAGCTAGCATGTCTCCGACATAGTGATAACACGCGTTGCCTTCTCTAGTGCAGCTCAACCAGGCCTCGTCCCATTCGTCGATATTTGTGATATCACAAAATCCCGGAAAATATGCGTTGTAGTCCAAACGAGTGGTTGTTGTAGTTTTTGAAAAGTGATTTCTGTTAAATAAAATATCTCCTTTTGAAATGGACTTTGAGCTTTGTAAGATCTTTTTTATGCTTAAACAGCAACATTACAGACTAACTAAAGTTGAAAAATTGAAAAAGCATAATAGGACCCCTTTAAGGCCCAGGGATATGCCTTCTGTCTGACAAAGCCTGAAAGGTTGCAAAGGTGTACATTTCTTGTCAAAAGAGCTCATTAGCTTCCTCTAGTGGGTGTTGTGTAAACTGAGAATAACAACTGTTAACTTCTAAACCCTTTTGGGGGCAGTCTCACAGGCAAAATTCTAAATTTAAGTATTTATTATTTTTTGGGACATGGCAAGTCTAGTAATACAGTAAGAATATAGAGGATGACAATGTTTTCTTCATGAATCGTGCTGCTCAATCTGTCTGTATTGTGGTTCCCAAATTTTTTGACCTCCCCCTTTTTCCAACACAATATTTTAACATTGAGGATATTTCTGATAGTTCTGCTGTAGCTGGTTGTTTGAACTAATCTGTTGACCTTGTTCCAGTGGAACAAGCTCAAAAATGTACATTCATTAACATCAAATTATTGTTTTTTTTAAGCATGTAGATACAACGTGGTAGATAAATGCATATTCAGCCATCCCAAATTGTACGTTTTCACAGCACACGGCACATATGAATAATTAAGTAGGTCGATTTGCTAGGTCGAGTGTTTTCTTCGCTGGTGTTTGGAGGACTTGCGTGACAGAACACGCCCACTCTGATGCGTTCCTCCTGAGCAGAAGCACGTGATTAGGCGTGTTTACCTATGGTACAATGTAGCGTCTGAGACCATCAACCTAGCCGAATAATCAATTATACGGTCACGTTTAGTATCAGAAGCGGTTATTGGATTTACATCAGGGCCTTCACTGACTAGTAACTGCTCAATGCATGCGAGAAAGGGGAAGTCGTGTGTGTAGCCTGAGGTCGAGCGAGCGAAGCAGACAGACGAGGGGAAAGGTAACACAAGATTGACATATTGCGCATCTTTAGACATTTGACGTTGTTGTAAAATCCCATTAAACGGTTGTATTTTAATTGCAGTCGCCTTGACTGCATAACAGCCAACAATAATGTAATGCAAATGCTGTCGTAGTAGTTTAATTGGTCGCTGTGGCTTTGAGGAAGTTGACATTGAACGTGTCTGTGAATACTAACGACTGTTGAAGTGACCTACAATGTTATTACAATAAGACGGGAACAAACATTATTGTCAGTATCTCGAAACGTTGTGTTTTCAATGCATATTACATGATCTGGGCTTTTTTATGTCATATTGCCTAATCACATGGAATGCTGTGTCGGGCTGTGGCTCAAAACCTATTGAGCTGCCTACCTAGACCGCATTTTAGGAATCATAGGTGCACTTGCATGTGATACCCACACCGCTGGCTAGGCTTAAACATACTATGTGTAGTTTAGAGATATTTTCCATGACTGGGACTGATATGTACAACACATTATTGTTTTATATGTTTGATTTTTGACAATGATAATTAAATAATCTTTAGAACGCAACAATGAAATATGCATTATGAATATGTATACTACAATAATGTTGATTATAACCCTAAAAATACTAATAACAAATCATAATGTTGTTGAATAAGTTATGGATGTCAAAAAGAAAAAAAATGTATAGAAAAATGTGCCCTTTTTTGGTGGGCCTGATATTACGAAATTTGAATAATAGTGGTCAAACTGATAATTGGTTCTGATTATCTCTAATGTTGTTGGTTTATATCTGTAGAGTGGGCTCTTTTGAGGATTACAGGACCACCAGATGCATTCCTAAATCTCTGCTGCTAGCCTCATTATGGGCGTTATAGAGGAGACCGACTTAGAGCGTGAGTAACACTCTTATCCACTTTGCCCACTTTATACTTCACATAAGCAACTGTAAGCATGATCTTGTGGCACTGCACTACCATGTATGTTTTTCTGTGTTAAACATTGCCTTGATTTTCATCTCCAGTGTCTCAATGTATAAAGCAACACTGGTTACTTGTAGTGCATTTGGCGGCTGACCAGAACAGGCTAGCTAAACATAGAGGTTAAGGCAAGGCGATGTACTGTAGTTGAAAATATATCCCTGTATTTTTCAGCCTTTTGACAATACTCAGTATACAGCTCAACATTTGTGTATTTGCTCTGAAAGTGTTTAAAAAGGTGTTTGTTTGTTTTTCAATTAGAGGAGCTATAATTTTAGGCAAACAGCAAATGTTGGTAAGTAGATTCAGAATGATGAATGTACAGTAATTAAGAGTTTCAACAGTAGAAAAAAAGTTACAAATATAATAAACACAAGAAAGAACAAAAATGTAGTCATCTTCATTTACATCCACCAATTAAAAAAACATAGTTATAGGAAACGTAATTGTCAAATTAAAAGTGTATTACATTCATCACAATAGAGCAGGAGCTAAAGAGTCGAGCACGCAAAGCTTTTGCGTAGCGATCATCTGCAAGCTGAGACATCGACATAAATAATTTCCCTTTAAAATGTAATTTATTCTTGTGATGGCAAAGCCGAATTTTCAGCAGCCAGTCAAATGTCACATGAGCCTTCAGAAATCATTTTAATATGCTGATTTATTATTATTCTGAAAGTTTGAAAGCAGTTATTTTGCTTAATATTTTTGTGGAAACTGATACATTTTTTTCATGGTTCTCTGGTGGATTGAAAGTTCAAAAGAACAACACTTATTTTAAATGGAAATCTTTTGTAAAATAAAGTTTTTTACTGTCACTTTTGACCAATTTAGTGCATCCCTGCTAAATAAAAGTATTAATGTCTTTTAAAACAAATAAACTTTGTTTTAGGGAAAAATTTTACTAACTGTTACTAATACTAATATTTTTCAATATTAGTGTATTTAATGATTATTCATCCATATTCGCCCATATCTGTCACTTGTTGATGACAAAAGGGATATTTAGGTGCAAAACAAAAGCACCTGTTTTTCATTTAAAATGGACTCCCACATGAATCTAGTCACATTGAACAGAGTCATGAGTTTCTCTTATCCCATTAGTGTCTTTCAACACTATTCTTTAGGTTGGATTTGAAGCTAATTGCCCAATGAGTATGTTTAGGCAACTCGTTTACTCAGTGCGCTGTAGGTAGATTAGAATAATCTAATCAGATGGGACTGTATGTGAAGATTAAGTGTGGTTAAAATGTCCAGATGTTGCAACGTCTGTTTTAAGATATTCTGCATTGCAGATCTTCCCCCTTACGTTGTACTCTCTGTAATGTGAGTTTAGGAGCAGGAGTGACTCATATGCATCCATCATGTCCTCAATGCAGAGCTTGTGACCAATTAGCGCACATCTCAGACAGAGTTAATTACACTAATCCCAATGATGAATTGATTATCCACTCTAGTTGTTTTTGAGTAGGCAAGAAACAGCAGTTTCTGGTGTTGAAAGAATTTGTTGTGTAGGAGTTTTCTATCTGGATTTACCACATAGTCTGATATAGTATTACCAATAAAAGGATTTCAGATCAATTTATCCTTTGAGAAACAGACACAGTGGCAAAGCAATGCGAAAGATGTACTTATATGCAGTGCTGTCCTAAAGTTTGGGGTCAGTACAATTAAAAAACAAAAGATATTAATACATTTATTCAGCAGGGATGCAGTAATTTGAAAAGTGAATTTTCAGTAAAGACATTTAAAATGTTACAAAAGATTCCTGTTTGACAAAAATCCTGTTTTTTGAACATTCTAGTCAACAAAGAATCCTGAAAAAACGAATCACAGATTCAACAAAAATATCAGGCAACACAATAGTTTTCAACATGGATAATAAGAAATATTTCTTGAGCAAATCAGAATGATTTCTGAAGGATCATGTGGCATTGAAGACTGGAGTTTATGACTGCTGAAAATTCAACTTTGCCAGCACAGGAATAAATTACATTTAAAAAATATATTAAAATAGAAAATATGTACCAGTATACATATATTAGCAATTCATACCTATCTCCATAACGTTCTGTGTGCAAATTCATGTGTTTGTTTTATCCAATCAGAGGTGACCCTGGCTCTTTTGGATGGTGCCAACGACAGAGATCCAGTGGTGCAGGAACAGGTCAGGAAGTCCATCTTGACACTGGGGAACCAGCAGCCTGATAAAGTCCTGTCCATGTGCCAGGACTACCTGCTCAAACATCCCAAGGTCAGTCAAAGAGTTTCCATCAAGATATACTACCATTCAAAAGTTTGGTGTGAGTAAATGTTTTGATTTGGAGAAATTAATATGTTTACTCAGTAAGGATGCATTCAATTGATTATAAGTGACAATAAAGATGTGACAAAGATTTCATTTCCCATAAATATAGTCAGCTCGACTGTTTTCAGCATTTATAATAATAAGTATTTCTTGAGTGCTGTTTGCTTTGCCATAACAGGAATAAATTACATTTTAAAATATATTAAAAACAGTTTAAATTGCGTGTAAATCTTTTGAAAACACTTCCCTAAACAGAAATAAAAAGAAGCTAATTTAATGCATGTTTCAAGGAAACTCGCACATTAATCTCATCTGTAATAAACCTCTTATCTGTAACCAGAGCTCTTCCTTTTATTGATTTGTAATGCCTAGTGTTGCAGGGCAAACCCATTGCTCACAGACATGACTGTGTTTCTGTGTTTCGTGCCTCTGATTTGACTGAGGTCTGTTTTAATAGTTGACTGACTTTGTAAGATTTGAATATGGGATGTATGAGTCTGTGATGAATTTAGTACTGTGATTAGCATGTCTTTCATAGTGTATCTCTGTAGTACATGTTCATGAGTTTACTTGCAAGTCATCTTTGTCCTGTGAAGCTGGTGGTCGGGCACAGAGTGGTGATCTTGCAAACCATTGAATTGGTGGTGAAGAGCAGGATTGATGACGTCAGTTACCCCAAGATCAAGAGTGTCATACAGCTGGCATCAGATGAGATGACTAAATCAAAGGTGAGACAGCTGACTTACACTACTGTCCTAAAGTTTGGGGTCAGTAAGATACTAATACTTCATATTTCTGAAGGATCATGTAATACTTTGCCATCACAGGAATACATGACATTTTAAATATATAGTAAAATAGAATAGAGTTATTTTAAATGATAGTAATATTTCACAATTTTACTGTTGGTGAGTGTTTGAGACTTCTTTAAAAAACATGGAAAAATCTTACCGACCCCAAATGTTTAAACAATTCCATTAAAACTATAAAGAAGGTTCTGTTTTTGGTAAATAGTTATGTGACAGTTCAATCATAAATCTGGAAAAGTTTAGTAATACAAAAGATTACTTTTATTAGTTAGTTTTTATTTAATATACAACACAAATTATAGAGTGAGGATTTCTATATTTAAACACATAAAACAAATTTTCCACTTCTGTATAGGAGGTTGTCCCGGAATGGCAGCAAGCAGCCAGTAATATTCTGGTTGCTGTGGGAAACAAATATATTAATGACATCATGGAGGAGATACTCGGCAAGTTCCAGCCAGGAGTTTTGCCTCACTTTTTTGTGGTCCAAACTATCCTTGGTGGGTCTTGGTTAAACCTTTTTATTTTTATTTTTTTTTGAAGCATGTGCATGCAAATGTAAACATCTGATTGAAATCTATTTTTTGGCTAGTCATGTGGACATGAACCCAAGCAAAGGTTGCATTCTCAGTCAGCTGACTTGCTGTAGCAATATCCCTGTCATGTGCTGATGGAGTCTGAGCTGAGATTAAGTTAAAGTGTCAGACCAGCAGACTTCTCCAATCAGTGAGATGATATCATACAGTTGTGTGCTTGGTGCTGATTTGAGGTGACACACACAAGCTGGATTGCTCTCCTCTCTCTTTTTGTGTGTTGTCAAGCAGATGCAAGGAGTCCAGGAGTTGTTGAGTGTTTTCAGTGTGTGCATGTCAATCATGAGCGGGTGTTTCAACTGTGAAAAGATTTGCTGTTAGTTCTAGACCTGTACTAATGCATAAAAAATATATAAATTAGATCAATGACTCCTTAAATGTAATAGAATTTTTGTTCGTTTTTTTATTTTTTTGTTTTATTTTATTTTATTTTTTATTTTATTTATTTATTTTTAAATTACCCAGGTTTTTAACCCATTAATGTTCAACTTAGGTCCTTTACCAGGCATTAAAACAAGACACCTTTGACTAAAGTATGCATTTATACACAGATTTTGGTGGTTCACAGAACACTGTCAAAGCCTTTATCGTTAACTGAGGGTAAACTTGACAAATTGCATTCATTTTCACTTCTATATTTGGCTGTTTTTGCCCCCAGCCAACACGTTCCCGGACCGTCTGATGGTGTTTGTCCTCCAGAGGTTGGAGAACAGTAACGAAAGGAACAGAATGGGCTCACTTGCTGTTCTCAGACACCTCATCAACGCATCCAGTGAGTTTTAAACATGTAATCAAATGTCAATGATTTCTTCCTCAGCCAGACGCTCTTATCCAGATTGTCATACCTGGCTACGAAAAGATCAGAATCTCTATTTTTAAAACTCTGCTCTGTCTGTTCAAGCCTCCATTATGGAAACCAAGAAGCTCCTAATTCTAGCCAGCATCAGGCAACCTCTGGCTGACCACAGCAATAAGGTACAAAAATATATCCTCTCAATGTGATAAGTGACAAAATATATGTGTTTCATCAACTTTGGGCACTCTTTGTCCCAAAGAGAATTTCCCTTGCGGTAATTTTGAGTGGCAACTCAAAAGTATGCATCATCAATAAAGTGTATACTGAATTTGGCCTATAAATATCAGTAATGAGTAATGTCTTACTACATTACTTCTTAATGCAAACCTCGTAAAAATAACTGGTGGTCAGTGGAGGAAAGCCTTGTTTTGCCCTCCATGTGGGTGTTCCTTTAAGGGTGAGACGTCACGTGAAAACTATGAATTCCAGTCCTCGCGCACCACCGCTCTGCATATTTTGCATGTTTCTCTTATTTAACACACCTGATTGAGATCATCGTTAGGAGAGAGCTCCATGCATGAACTGTGCTCCGATTGACATGGTCCCTACACAGTATTCTTTGCTCCCTACTCCCTGAGCATGGGAAATCTGTTGAAGTTTACTTCACTTTGGAACATTCATTCACGGATTTGTGCTATGCCACGGCCTGCAGGGTCTTCACACACAGACGGAACTTACTAGAGAAGTGTGACATAATATACCTATAATAAATACAATTACATTCACGTCTCGCACACTTTAATGCCCTTTGAATGGAACATATACACTTCCTTCGAACTGGAATCATGGTGGAATATCCTGTAATGTCCACTTTGCAGGGCACTTTTGGTCGAATAGAACAAACGTCTGAAGTGATAAGAGATGCATACAAAATGTGCAGAGCGGTGGTACACGAGGAGTGGAATTGAGAACCACTGTATTAGACAATTGAAAATAACAACTGTGGTACTTTTTGTAAAAAATCCTTATTTTTCACACAATAAAAATTTGGTTGCAGTCTTTGTTGATTAATTTATCATTTAAAAAATATTTTATGGTGAAAGTCAGACACGGGTAAAGCGATAAAATATTTACAAAAAATGTATATGTTTTTATGTGTTTCATTTTTTTAAAAGTTTAAATGTGACTATAAACCTCTGGTACGTATAAGTATCCATAAGTTATACAAACCCAATTCCAAAAAAGTTGGGACACTGTACAAATTGTGAATAAAAAAGGAATGGAATAATTTACAAATCTCATAAATGTATATTTTATTCACAATAGAATATAAACATATCAAATGTTGAAAGTGAGACATTTTGAAATGTCATGCCAAATATTGGCTCATTTTGGATTTCATGAGAGCTACACATTCCAAAAAAGTTGGGACAGGTAGCAATAAGAGGCCGGAAAAGTTAAATGTACATATAAGGAACAGCTGGAGGACCAATTTGCAACTTATTAGGTCAATTGGCAACATGATTGGGTATAAAAAGAGCCTCTCAGAGTAGCAGTGTCTCTCAGAAGTCAAGATGGGCAGAGGATCACCAATGCCCCCAGACAAGAATGGGACAACATTCCTATTCCTAAACTTGAGCAACTTGTCTCCTCAGTCCCCAGACGTTTGCAGACTGTTATAAAAAGAAGAGGGGATGCCACACAGTGGTAAACATGGCCTTGTCCCAACTTTTTTGAGATGTGTTGATGCCATGAAATTTAAAATCAACTTATTTTTCGCTTAAAATGATAAATTTTCTCAGTTTAAACATTTGATATGTCATCTATGTTGTATTCTGAATAAAATATTGAAATTTGAAACTTCCACATCGGGAAATTTGAAACTTCCATACATTGCATTCTGTTTTTATTCACAATTTGTACAGTGTACCAACATTTTTGGAATCGGGTTTGTAAAAAAATATGTGATCTATTTTCTTTAATGTGGGATAAATGTGCTGAAATGGTGCTGCTCATTTTGAGCGCTCAGCAAGGTTTTAATGATCGTGTTTGCCTGTGCAGGTGAAGAAGAGAGTGGTGCAGGTGATCAGTGCTATGGCTCATCATGGTTACCTAGAGCTAGAGGGAGGAGACCTGCTTGTCCGTTTCATCATCCAGCACTGTGCTCTACCAGACACTTACCATGTACAAACAACCTTTACTGACTAACACTTCTCTTACTGCAGATAAGCAGTGTCACATGACTGTAGCTGCAAATGAACTTCCTGCTCGCTGATCATATTTTAACTTCTCTTTGAATTACAAATCTCCTTGCTTGATTTCCTATGCATTGAATTGCAAAATTGTCTGTAATCGATTTGTTTGAGATCTATGTAGCAAGCTTTTTTAAATTAAGTTCATAGCCCATGTTGTGTCATATGTCAGTGCACACCTCAGTTTTTAAATATTTACGTTAGCTAGGGTGATTCCCTTCTGTTTGTTACCTTTGAACTGTTATTGGCTTTAGCCCAGCCCTAGTTATGCTGGGTTGTGTGATTCAATATAGCTAATAAATTGTTAATATTCACACAGCGAGGACAGCGACCTCCAGACCCAGAGGAAGTGACCAATGAGGCTCTGCGTAGCATGTGTGATAACACATTGCATCTTTTCACTACTACTGTGGGCCGCCTGACAGATGTGAGTATATAGACGAGTACAAACAAGCGTACACCTTCCTCATCTTGACTCTTGAAGTCACGGTTCTTCTTTCAAAATGTGCAGTCCTCGCCTTTGTTTTATTTTTTTGCTTTATTCTGTTACTATTGTGCAGCATTGTGATTGACCGTGTTTGCATGTCATTTGTCATTTTATGCCCTTATTAGTGAGCTTGGTAAATGTCATAAAGCTGTTATATCTTAACTATCAATCTTAACGCTGCTGCCTCTTAAGAATTTGATCAGATTTTCAGTATTGGTGGGGTCCAAAAGTAATAATTAAAAAAATCAGCCATTTGAAAACCAATATTGATCACTCGTTATTCTGAATACCCTTTGGAAAATTAACCATGGTTTTCTACAAATAAAATCAAGAAGCCATGGTTATTGTAGTTAAACCATTGTTTTGCTATATTAACCTTAGTTTAACCATGGCATTTGGAGTAATCAATCCACCAAAAAAAAAAAAACTCGTTACCACACTTTTACATTAATAAAACCATGGCTAATTTTCATAAGAGTATTAGGGAGAACATCAGTGTCTATGGTGGCGACGGTCCTGCTGCCACTAAATCAGACACCTGCACATCTGCAATGCGTCTTATCCTAAAGACAACTCAATGAAATGCTTACATAGTGAGAGATGGTCTTTGCAGTCACTCAGCACAGTCCATCATCTTCACAGCCAAAGTCAGCAGCCCCGGCCCGGCACTGCCGCTTGTAAGAGAGAGTGTCTAGAGAAATATTAGATCCTTTTTTTCCTGTGAGCATCCCAACATCAACAGCAGGCTGTTGACAGGGATATCTCCTCAGCAGACAGACGAAGACGGTTTATGTGCCGATGAGACTGTCTCCATTCCTTCCTCCAAAACGAATGATAACCAGGAAAATGTCAGGAAAAGAATATACAGCCAGACTATTTTTTGATTTTTGTTGTGTCTTTCTTGTTAACATATTGTTTTAAAGCACAGAATTTAGACTTTTATGAGATTTATTGCGAGTATGGATTTATGTTTCGTGGGATTTATCAGAGTAGACACCGATTTGTTTTCCCTGAGGTCTTCCTTTGTTTTATATATATATGTATATAGAGGGAGGAGACCTGCTTGTCCGTTTCATCATCCAGCACTGTGCTCTACCAGACACTTACCATGTACAAACAACCTTTACTGACTAACACTTCTCTTACTGCAGATAAGCAGTGTCACATGACTGTAGCTGCAAATGAACTTCCTGCTCGCTGATCATATTTTAACTTCTCTTTGAATTACAAATCTCCTTGCTTGATTTCCTATGCATTGAATTGCAAAATTGTCTGTAATCGATTTGTTTGAGATCTATGTAGCAAGCTTTTTTAAATTAAGTTCATAGCCCATGTTGTGTCATATGTCAGTGCACACCTCAGTTTTTAAATATTTACGTTAGCTAGGGTGATTCCCTTCTGTTTGTTACCTTTGAACTGTTATTGGCTTTAGCCCAGCCCTAGTTATGCTGGGTTGTGTGATTCAATATAGCTAATAAATTGTTAATATTCACACAGCGAGGACAGCGACCTCCAGACCCAGAGGAAGTGACCAATGAGGCTCTGCGTAGCATGTGTGATAACACATTGCATCTTTTCACTACTACTGTGGGCCGCCTGACAGATGTGAGTATATAGACGAGTACAAACAAGCGTACACCTTCCTCATCTTGACTCTTGAAGTCACGGTTCTTCTTTCAAAATGTGCAGTCCTCGCCTTTGTTTTATTTTTTTTGCTTTATTCTGTTACTATTGTGCAGCATTGTGATTGACCGTGTTTGCATGTCATTTGTCATTTTATGCCCTTATTAGTGAGCTTGGTAAATGTCATAAAGCTGTTATATCTTAACTATCAATCTTAACGCTGCTGCCTCTTAAGAATTTGATCAGATTTTCAGTATTGGTGGGGTCCAAAAGTAATAATTAAAAAAATCAGCCATTTGAAAACCAATATTGATCACTCGTTATTCTGAATACCCATTGGAAAATTAACCATGGTTTTCTACAAATAAAATCAAGAAGCCATGGTTATTGTAGTTAAACCATTGTTTTGCTATATTAACCTTAGTTTAACCATGGCATTTGGAGTAATCAATCCACCAAAAAAAAAAAACCTCGTTACCACACTTTTACATTAATAAAACCATGGCTAATTTTCATAAGAGTATTAGGGAGAACATCAGTGTCTATGGTGGCGACGGTCCTGCTGCCACTAAATCAGACACCTGCACATCTGCAATGCGTCTTATCCTAAAGACAACTCAATGAAATGCTTACATAGTGAGAGATGGTCTTTGCAGTCACTCAGCACAGTCCATCATCTTCACAGCCAAAGTCAGCAGCCCCGGCCCGGCTTGTAAGAGAGAGTGTCTAGAGAAATATTAGATCCTTTTTTTCCTGTGAGCATCCCAACATCAACAGCAGGCTGTTGACAAGGATATCTCCTCAGCAGACAGACGAAGACGGTTTATGTGCCGATGAGACTGTCTCCATTCCTTCCTCCAAAACGAATGATAACCAGGAAAATGTCAGGAAAAGAATATACAGCCAGACTATTTTTTGATTTTTGTTGTGTCTTTCTTGTTAACATATTGTTTTAAAGCACAGAATTTAGACTTTTATGAGATTTATTGCGAGTATGGATTTATGTTTCGTGGGATTTATCAGAGTAGACACCGATTTGTTTTCCCTGAGGTCTTCCTTTGTTTTATATATATATATATATATATATATATATACACACACACACATAATTATACATATTTATATAGGCAAATAATTATAAATAAATAAAGACCTTAAGGAAAATGTTAAACAAAAGTCCAATGTAAAAATTTACCATAATTTTAACTGTAAAGGGAACAGAAAAAAAACTGTAAACTGTTTGTTTACAGTAACTTCCCTTACTATATACAGTGACATTTTAATAAAACGGTAATAAAAAATTCATGTAATTTTACAGTAAAATACTGTTAAATTTACCGTTTTTGCAAGTGAATAAGAAAAAATATTTTTATAATTTACAGTGAAAAGACGTAAATTGACATTCCCAGAATTCCTTGTGTGACACTTCACATTTGATGGTTTTTCATTGAAATAAGTGGGCTTCTTCCATTTTTTTTTTCTTTTTTGTTATGTACATTGGGGTTTTATGTTACATTTTACATTCTTTAATTCATGTTTATTGCATTAGAGTTTAGTGTAATAATTGTGGCCCTGATGGGAGGTATTAAAGGGGTCATATGATGCGATTTCACATTTTCCTTTCTCTTTGGAGTGTTACAAGCTGTTCGTGAATAGATAAGATCCCTAAAGTTGCAAAGACTAAAGTCTCAAACCCAAAGAGATATTCTTTATAAAAGTTAAGACTGGTCCACGCCCTCCTAAAACGCCTCGTTTAAACATGCCCCCACATGTCTACGTCACTGTGTGGGAAGATTTGCATAACACCGCCCAAATATTTACACAAAGAAAGAAGACGTAACTTTGATTCTCGCTTTAGTATTGTTGCTGCCACCGCCGCCATATCGTGGAGACGCTGTGTGTTTCGTTGTGAAAGCGAAACTACTTTGTTTGGTCTTCCAAAAGAAGACACAACTAGACATCAGTGGTTAAGTTGTATTTACAACACTGTTCCAGAACAGTTCAAACCAAATATTCAGATGTGTGCAACGCATTTTATGGAGGACTGTTTCCTGATCCTGTGAGAGTAGACTACAATGCTGGTGTTCTGAGAAATAATGCTGACTCACAGACTGTAAGTACCTTTTCACATTTAAAGGATTTGCCAATGATGATTCAAACGCGAGTTTTGAGCAGTGTAGAGCAGTGCTAGTCTGTCGATTCTCCGATCACAAATGCAGACATGGTTTTGTGTTTACGCGGCGCGATGCAACGCAACGCGTAAAAAGACAGTATAAGTCATTATAATCAGTAATTATTTCCCCACTGGATGCTACAAATGCCTCGTTTGTCATGGGTTTTATTGGTTTTGTCTCGTCTCGCCGAGACACATGGAAACACAGTATGGTAAGGGGCGTAACATTTCTGTCACCCGCTTGAGGTATTCGGCCAATCACAACACACTGGATAGCTGGCCAATCAGAGCACACCTCGCTTTTCAGACCGATGAGCTTTGTAAAAATCAACGCGTTTCAGAAAGGTGGGGCATAGAGGAGAAACAATAATGTACAGTATGTGGAAAATAATGTGTTTTTTGAACCTTAAACCACATAAACACATTTCATTACACCAAATACACCAAATAATGTTCTTTTTTTTAGCAACGTCATATGACCCCTTCAACCTTAATTGACCAAAACTACTTCTATGTATCTCTTTGGTTTACTTCATATCTGAAATTATTTCTTGTGTAGGTTCTATGGCCTATGTTGCTTTGCTACCTGACCCCAAATCAGTACGCCAGCGCCACTACCCCCTTGTGCAAGAGTTTAATTCTGCTGGCCAATAAGAAACGAGCAGCCCAAGAAGCCAGCTTCATCATCAACTTCAATGCACAAGGTGTGGACACGCACACATACGGTCATGATGTCACTGATGAGCCTAGTCCCAGACTAAGAGCTTTTCCACTGTCTGACCTAAAGACACCCTGGAATCACACTTTCTGTCTTCTTGGCAGTGTGGCAAATGCTGCAGCGGTTATTAAACCTTTTTTTCCATTGTTGGCCTGAAACTAAATTGCACTTGCAGACGTTTTGTTTTTATTGCAAGTCGTTTGCTTTGCCTGTTGAGTCTGTTTCTAATTAGTTAAATTAAAAGTGGTATTTATCAACTGAATAAAGTGCTTGGGGCAGAGGGTAATTGTTTCTTATGCTGACAGTGATTAAATTGAACTCTAGTAGGACAAATAAGTCCCAGGTTCAGTGATTATTTATTCGTTAATTGTAATGCTTTTGGATCATGTGCTTCACTAATGGGTTACCCTTGTCTGCCCTCCCCTCTCTCTATCTTTCTTTGTTTCTTCCTTCTTCGCACAGGCTCTAGTCTTCCCTCACAATATATCCTGATGATAAGGCTCTTGGTAAGTGTTGCATTCCTAGTGATTTTTTTACTTAGATTGTTTTCAGTTTTTAGCCAGGCAATGAGTAAGGTAAATAGTAATATTTTTTTTATGTGCCTCTCTGGAAAATGTGATTCTTGATTCTGATCAATATGTATTTTTGTATAATTACTGTTAAAGTGGATATTTCACTGTTCCCTATTACAACATACCAGGTGCTACTTTCATACACTAATGTTCAAAAGTTTGAGGTCAGGAAGATTTTATTTGCAAAGAAATCAATACTTTTATTGAGCAAGGATGCATTAAATCAGTTAAAAGTGACCGCTTAAATCTTGCATTTTACAATATATTCATATCGAAAAGCTATATTAAATTAAAATAGAGTATTTCACAATGTTACTGTTTTTACTGTATTTTTGATTAAATAAATGCAGTCTTGGTGAGCATGTGAAAACATAAAAAAATCATACCAACCCTAAACTATTTCTAAAAACACATAATATTCCTAAACACAATATTGATTTCAATCTAACAGTATCCATTTAGTTGGGTTTTTTAGTCTTGATTGCTGCAATTTTTTCTTTCTTTTCTTTTTTTTCTGAAGACAGATTTTTTTACTTTTTTTCTAAAGAAGTTTCTCTTCATACACTCTTTTGAATCATGATGTCATTTAGTCACTGCTTAGTGCAGACCTTAAACATCTAAAATTAATGTTGCATTTTCCTCAGGTAAATGCCGCATTACCATTTCGATGCAGGGGGCACGGTGCTCCCTCCCTGAGTCTGCTCAATGCTCTCAGCCCTAACATTCACCCTAAAGCCGAGCCTCTGTGGGAAAACGAGATTCCAAAGATGCTCAGTTATCTTGAAGGTTTGTTAAAATATACCACGGAGATGTAGTGGATTAGGTACAGCCTCATGAGTCAACCAGACCACGCCACTTATTGGTCATAACATCCAGCTCCACATTTCAGTGTTTCACCATGTTTGCAAATGCCCACCCATCTCAAAACTAATTTAGGACATCAGCTCTGTCTAATCTAACCTGCTGTGAGATTTAGAGAAGTAGGTGAATTTTCTGACATTAGAGGTTTTGTTACCATATTTAGTCTAGTAACTTATACTTCACAGGTTCTCAAGGCTCGCTCTGTCGCTTTTTAGTTGAAGGAGAGGTTCTCGATTCATCTGCTATGATGAGGTTTCAGTGAAACCTCTCATGTGTCTTCCAAAACCACAACCACCTGTCCTTAGAGACTCACAAGACAACCAGATGTTTCCAAGATACAGCCAAAATCATATTTAAATTTGATAAATCGTATTTCACATTCAGCGACTCTTCCAAGATAGTTACACGGCATAGCTTTAAAAAGTTATATTGGGTATCCCATTATCTTTGACTCTTTCCAGAGAGTGGTTTGAATGCATCTCTGACTGAATTTTGTCCTCTGTCTTCTAACCAGAATCAACAGATGATTCTCTGGATAAAAAGAAGTGGGAAGAAAGTTTACTTCAGGTCTGTAGTAATGTGTATGAATTTATAAATGGGTATTGCAGGAAAGGCTTGCATTATTTAAAACATCTTGTAAAAAATCTATAGGAATAAATTATATCTATATCTAGAAGAATAAGTAAACGATTAGCATTGACAAGATGCAAACATCCTAATGGCCAAAGTTAATGGCGACTAATCAGACATTGTTTTCTGATTGCGATCAAGATGCTGTCTAAAACTCTGGCAGCTATTGACGACAGCCAGTGGACAGGTCAGCTTGCAGTAGAAGCTACACGATACCTTCCTACCTACAACAATGCTCTGGAGGAGAAGGTCAGTTTAGAAATCTATTTGTGACTTTTCATATTATAGACCAGACTTATTATTTCCGAAAAGAAACATTCTAAGTCCTATAGATTTAGGAATCCTGTAGACCTGATAGATTTCCCCCCCCATTTTTCCTCTATTTTATAAGTCATCTTATATATTTTTTTATTGCTTTTTTTTTGTTCTAATTATTTTGTAGGGCATGACAATGAATCACATAATCATCATTGTGATTGCAGCTGTTGCCAATAAGTAATCATTTGTGAAAGAACTGTGTGAGCAAATATTTCCCTAGTATTGATGCATTGAATGTGTAAAAGTTGATTTGGATAAATATAAATATGTACAAAACAGCTCTTCAAGACAATTGTTCTCGGCTTTTTAAAAATGATTGCCTACATTATAAATCTCATTATAAATAAATCTTCGTCCAAACAAAGTATTTGAATGTACATTTTACATCATTTCCTGGGTTCTTGTGATAAACTCTTCTTTCTTTCTTTCTTTCTTTCTCTTTTTTCTCAGCGTTTTTTGTATAGGTGTATCGGTGTGATTCTCCAGCAGTGCTATAATAAAGAGCTGGTCAGGAAACAGCTGCAGGAGATCCTGATCAGCACTCGTCACAATGATGCAATCGAAAGAACGGTATGCCACTGATTCATTCAACTTCTGAATTTAGAGGCATAACTTCTCAGAGAGAGTTTACTGTCTTGACAGTCAAATAGCCTGCTGAAGCACAGCCCTCTTTGGGGAATTATGTCTTAAAGGGGTCATATGATGCGATTTAAATTTTTCCTTTCTCTTTGGACCTCGTGCTCCGGCCGGGACATGGCATAACATGTGAGGGGCGTAACATTTCCGTTTCACGCTTGAGGTATTCGGCCAATTACAACGCACTGGATAGCTGGCCAATCACAGCACACCTCGCTTTTTCAGATCGATGAGCTTTGTAAAAATCGATGCGTTTCAAAAAGGCAGGGCATAGAGGAGAAACAATAATGTACAGTATGTGGAAAATAATGTGTTTTTTTTACTTTAAGCCGCATAAACACATTTCATTACACCAAATACACCAAATAATGTTCTTTTTAGCAGCATCATATGACCCCTTTATTAATAATAATTAATCACATCTTACCACACTGCCACAAATCAAATATTAGAAAACATTCTAAGTCTAGTCACTAATTGACTACTGTATTTTCCAGAAAATAAGTACAAATATTTATATTTCAGGAAATATAATAAATACATTTTATTATATAACATTTCAGGTGATTAAAAAACATGACTTCTGGAAAATATGGTTGTCCATTGGTTGGATGACCAGTCGACCATTCTGACCCATTCCTTTACCCAAATTGAGGTCATTCTTCCAACTGTCTAGTGTCAGTTATCTCAAGAGAACACAGATCACATAATTTCTAATCATAGATTGGTATAAAATGTATTCAAATGTTCCACAGTTTGGATATCTGAGGTTTTTGCAGTTATTGAAAAGCCGCTAATTAAGAATAATGAACAGGTAGTAATTGGTATGCAGGGTGTTGCCATGGGAATCGGGCTGTGTGCCAGCAGTCATCTCGATGGCACTCTGGAAAAACTGGAGGAGTTTGGGAAGTCTGACGCCTTCAGGAAAGCCTCAGGGATATTTGGTCTTCTCAAAGTAGGCCGAGCTTCATTGTACTTCTCACATGATGCAAATTAAAACATCTTTTTGTTTCCCAAATTGGATTATTAAAAACTGTAACATTTAAATTGGGTTTGAAATGATTGTTTTACCATATTATATTTTTTAAAAATATAAAATTGTAAAAGAATAATTATATTAGGTTTATTAAGTGCTTCAGAAGCTATATTTCACACATGTATCTTGTTGTGTGTCACTTGTCTTGTCCTTCAGGATAAAAACGATGTTGATGTGGAGAAAATGAAAAGCACTCTCATTTTGTGTTATGGATATGTTGCGTTGCACGCTCCAGAAGATCAGCTCCTCACTCGCATAGACAGTGACATTCTCCAAAACATCTCCAAGAACTTCAACACCAAGGTAAAACATATCATAACTCCATTATATTGATTGTCTACAGTATCTTTTTGTGGTTTAAAAGTAGTATTGTGGTCCAAAAATACAGCAGTATTACTGTAGTGTTAGTGAGATTTTGTAGACAACGGTATTCTAAGCTAGTATTTCTAAATTCCAAAATGTTATTTAATTATTCCTCTTAAGTTAAATGTATAGTTTTGTGGCTTTTTGTTTCATAGCCACATGTTAGTGTTGACTAAAGTAACTTCTAGCTGATTTTTCTGGGAAAATGGTCCAGAAATATTGATGACTCAACTTGCATTTGCATTGGATGCTTGGCGGAGGTTTTTGGATAAATTGAAATGTTCATGCCTCTGTAGTTCTATTATGTTAGATGAACAGCTCATTTATTTGATCAGAATTAATACATTAATAATTTCTCATTGTTTGTTACAGCAGTGAGGTGCAAAACTGAAAAATGTGTTGCTGTGAGGTGTTTTGCTAAACAAGTCCTCTGAAAGTCCTAGTATATTGTTGACAAGATTCAGTTGGTTGCTTCTGAGGCTGCAGTTATGACAGTTTGATCTAAATGATTTCTAATGACAAGGATCATTAATTCTCTTTGAGTGCTGAATCATGCCTCATCAATAATCATAATGTAATTGTGCGATTTGAAATAATTTCACTGTTAGGGAACCATGTAACTCATTTTGTTTTAATGTTCTGCAGTACAATTTGAATATCAAAGTTGAGTTCATCTTGGTCTTTGTTGGGATTTGAGGAGAATTTAGCTTTTCTTCACGGAGTTCACTAAACTGAGATGTTATATATACAACAGGCATTTATTAGATTTATATCTCCGTGTACAAACAGTATCTCAAGGGTCACATAATTCATCATTCTTATACAGTAATCCATTCTGTTGTTAAATAATATGGATTGTCTTTAATGTTTGTGAATTACATTGGATCATTACTTTTATTGTACAGGTTCTGGGAATTAAAGTAGAGACCAAGGTACCGTGAAGGGAAGCGATCACAAGGAGCTTCTCTCACCTCTGACCTTTAAACTTTAACACACTTTCTCTTCAATCTTGATGCTGCAATCAAAACCTTTACAGTATAACCTTTTGAGCTTCTCAAAAAAAGTGCATACACCTCTCAGCTATCTCTTTATGACCCTGAGACGGATTTTGAAAAGCATTTATAAGCTTCCTATTTAGTCTGGATCTTTTAAAAGGTCTATTGATTTATTAAGTTTAGACATGTTTAAGTTCAGTGAGTTTAAAATAAAGATGGCATTTTAAACTCTCTTTACACTACACTTGTAAGTAAAAGTAAATTGTTCTTTTGAGAAGGTCAAAAAGTGCTCACTAACCTGATAACCTTTGTCTTACTAAATCATCACAGTGTCTAGATACTTGGTTTTCTGACTTTTGTGGATTTTAGGTGGCTTGATTCAACTCTTTTTCTACTGAATCACAATTATATTGTCATAGATTGTGATTTTCTTCTCTTATAGCACTGTCAAGCATGTAAATTAATTTATAATGAGCATGCTGAATACAGCTGTGACCAGGAAATACTTTTCTAATTCCAGGTCTTGATTTGCCTGTGCTGTTTGATTTACACATGCACTGTTACGTATAGCATAGTTTGAGTGTGTGTTTACATCTCTTTCTGTGTGTTTGTGTGTATATGGGCACTTCATAGGACCTGACTATGAAGCTCAGTCTCATTCATAGTGTCGGACTCATTGCCAAGGCCATCAGCCAAAGTGTTCGTAAACAGGGCTTCCTGTTCTCCCGCAAACAAGAGCTGATGGGCGTTATGATGGTGAGAGGTTTGATTTGAATATCATTCCGATTTTAATACAGTATATGTATGTATGTTTTCAATGTAAGAAAGGTTATAAACCAGTTTACACTGGCCAAAATCTAGAAGATAAATATGACATCATGTGATATGAAATGAAGTGTTTTTTGTTTTTTTTTGTAAATCTCAGATCAGTTTCAGAATGATATGCAGACGACTTTGACATTTATGTCTTTTATTTACCTGCAGGATTTCATAAAAGCAGAACCAACAGATGTCATGCGGACCCCTGTTCGCCATCTTGTTTTGACCACATGTGCCAACCTTATGTATCCTACCATTTTAAATATTTATTTTGTTCGTCTGCTTCTGCATTCATTCATTTTTAAAAGATTGGTCTTTGTAAACATATGCTAAACTGACATCTTTGACCATTGCGATGCAGTGCCACAATCTATTAAGAACTTGACTCAAGCCTTCAGAAACTTAGATCCTCCTTTAACAGAAAATGAAATCTTTGACTTGTTAAAAACATGTTTGAATGGAGTTTATGGGCTTCCTACTGTGGACACTCCAGACAAGGCTAAAGATGAAGAAGCCCTGGACCCACAGCAAAGAGAGGTCAGAGTAAAATATGCATGTATTTACACATACCTGGGAACATGACTACTCTCTCCTGTATGCTTTAAACATAAAGAATATTTTTCACTGCAATGCTTTTTTCCTCAGGTCTTATATTCAGATACTTTTAATGCTCTTCATGAATTGTTGAGGAATGTGTTAGTCAGAGACTTGAGTCCTGATGGTCTGCAATCTGTGTTCAAGGTAAAGGAGAAAATATAAAAATGTCTTGCCATTTTGTAGTCCCTTTGTCTGAGCCCCATTTATTGAGTGCTTGTGCATTTTCCAGCATATAGAGAGCTGGCTGAGCTCAGGACAAGACCATGAGCGGGAGAGGGCAGTAAAGACCACAGCAGAGTTACTGCAGTTCTACTTGGACAATCTCAGTGTGAAGGTAAGGAACAGTATTGACTTATATACGTGTGTGTGAATGTATATTACCTACACATCTGTAAGATCCATAATGCAGTAATTAGTGATAGTCTTTGAATTTCTAATGTTTCGTTTAAAAGGTTGTGTGTTACAATGTTGAGTTACTCATATTATTATTATTATTATTATTTTAATTTTAAGCATCTCTAAAATTCCCAACATGCTCAAACATATTACAGCAATTTTTACAATACTTGTGCAACCAACATGGGAGAGAAATAGGGTTTTGTTTGTATACAAGTAATAAATAGTTAAATAAATAGAAACGTAATTTGATTATGCTATAATTAAAATATATAGATATGATAGATTACAGATATGTAGTTATGTTAAGTAATTGTTAAAGTAATTCTTTGTAGTAATTTAGGAATTGTAATGTAAATTTAGCAATTAAAGTGTGTGAAAAAAGTCTTCTGGTTATTTGTAGATTGTTACCCCAAAACAATTGGCCTAGACAAATTTCGGTAACACTTTATTTTAAGGTGTCCTTGTTACACATGTTACATGTACTTACTATTATAATAACAATTAATTATGCAATTACATGCAAGTAACCCTAAGCCTAACCCTAACCATATAGTAAGTACATGTAGTTAATTAATATTACTCAGCACTTAAATGTATAATTACACTGTAACAAGGACACCTTAAAATAAAGTGTAACCCACATTTCTTACATCCTTTAGATACAAAGTATTCACTTTCAACACCTATTATTTTTTATTTTACTCTGCACAAGCTGGAATGTTAAGTAGGATCATTTATTTTGCTCTTCCTTAAAGATGTTTTGGTTTCCTCAAGCCACTGTTTAATGAAATATGTGCGTTGGGAAACAAATGTAGTTTGTTTTTATTGGATCTCAAGCTCAGTGCTAATGAATCGTTCTCTTTCATTCTCTCTCTGTCTAGAATCTGGTGACATTCCATAATTTGGGAGCTCTTGTGGGGCGCCTGTCCCCACGGTGCACAGACCCAAACCCTGAGGTGCGACGAGCAGCTATAGACTGCATCTATAGACTAATGTACATTCAGCTGCGCTATGAAGGTACTGACTGTTTTTTTATAGCACAACACGGTTTGAGCTTCACAGGGTGAGCTTCAGATTCACACTGTTAATATGAACTTGTTTACTGTGTTATGTAATGCTGAAATGCTTAGCAAAGTATCTTGCCTCTTTCATTTCCCTAACAGGCTTTTCACTGGACTACAAGGATGATTCAGTTGAGGGCTTGTTAGATGTTCGTGAGAAGCTAAGCAATCCTGACCATTCAGTTTTGTATAAAACATGCTCTGAACTGACTAAGGTTAGTTGTCCTGATGTAAAATACTGATACTTCCAAAAAACTTTACGGATCCACCAGCTGTCTTTCTGAAACTGACTCTCTATCTCCCTCTCCACTCCCTGTGTCTTGTGTTTTAGATCATCAGTAAGCGTTTGCCCCAGCAGCAGTTGAGCACCCTGTTGTTTATGCTATTTGATGGTTTGGTGGACTCTCAGTCCAACTGTTCCAGAGCATCCAGCGTGATCCTCAACACCTTGCTGAAGAACAGAGGTGCTGGCCTGCAGGATCTGGTACATTGCACTTTCATCAGATTCTGGGAAACAAATCGATCTTTATAGACCAGTGAACTGAGATAATGTTATCTCTTGTATCTATCATCCTTTTTATTTCAGTTAACTGGTTTGTTTGGACAGTTTATGTAAATAAACTACCCACAGATTAAATAGATTTTTTCCCCCACAAAATATATACTCAATACTGCTACAAGTTTTTGGATTCCATAACAGTATTGAAAAAGTGGTTCATATACTACTGTTCAAATGTTTGGGTCATAAAGATTTTTTATGTTTTTTTAAGGAGTCTCTTAAGCTCACCAAGGCTGCATTTATTTGATGGAAAATACAGTAAAAATAGTATTATTGTGAATTATTATTTCGATTTTAAAGAACTTTTTAATATGTGTGAGCTTTTTCATCACAGGAATAAATTAAATTAAATGTAAATATTTTGATATATTGACAGAAAAACACAGAATTGTTGACATTTTTGCAGATTTACTAAAAAAGAAAAACTGAAATATCACATGGTCCTAAGTATTCAGACCCTTTGCTGTGACACTCATATATTTAACTCAGGTGCTGTCCATTTCTTCTGATCATCCTTGAGATGGTTCTACACCTTCATTTCCAGCTGTGTTTAATTATACTGATTGGACTTGATTTGTTGAATCATTTTTCTGTCTTCAATGAAGGAGAAATGCTGCATGAAGCACAACAAATAGCACCAAATTTAAAACAGAATGCTTAAAATGCAGCTTTGAGAAGCAGGATTTAGAGATTTGACTGCGAGCGGTACTTTCCGCTATAACACATCAAAAATGGACGCAAGTCTTGACATGCGATTCCATTGACTCTCACAGCTTGTTAAAACATATGCTAGTGAAAACAGTTAATTGCTATATTCTTTACTGTTACATTAGTTAGGAAATGACTTTAAACTTTTAAACCTTTTTTCTTCCATGTATTTATTCAATGGCTTACTCTACTGTTCAAAATTTTGGGCTCAGTAAAGTTTTTGAAAGAAATCTCTTATGCTCACCAAGACTACATTTATTTGATCAAAAATACATTAAAGCAGTAATATTGTACAATACTATTTTTACAATTACAATAACGGTTTTCTATTCTGATATATTTAATAATAGTAGGGATTTGTTTTTTTTATGCAATGTTTTCTAGATGACCTGTGCCCTGCGTGAGATGATGCTGAATGGCCAGTCAGCTGACGCCGTGGCATATGTGTTTCCAAAGCTCTTCAGCTCTCTACTGGTGCGTTTGGGCTCCAGTGTGGGAGTTCAGCTACCTAAAGATCTCAACAGCAACAGCATCATTTCAGACCGCAAAACAACCAACAAAATTAATGTGATCAATTTTGATGTGTGTGGGTGAGTGGCATAAATATTGGATTCAGAATTTTGATATCTCCAACAGTTTTTTTTATTTTTTATGATTGTGTTTTTTTTGTTTGTTAATTAATTATTAATTTTCTGCCTGTGTGCTTATTAGTTGTTAGCTTTGCAACATACTTTCAAATCGATCACTTATAAAGTCAGATGGTGAATTTGAAAGTAGCTGCTCTTGCAGACATCGCTAAGCTCAAAGTTAATAAGACATCTGTGTTTCTCTTTGCTGTGTGTTCAGGGTGGCAGTGGAGGCCCTGCGGATCCTGCTGGGTCGAGCTCAGCTGGACGCTGTCATGAAACCATTAGATCAGGAGGGACGTTGAATCATTTTTCTGTCTTCAATGAAGGAGAAATGCTGCATGAAGCACAACAAATAGCTCCAAATTCAAAACAGAATGCTTAAAATGCAGCTTTGAGAAGCAGGATTTAGAGATTTGACTGCAAGCGTTACTTTCCGCTACAACACATCAAAAATGGAAACTGTGTGTTTGCAAAAAGTCTTGACATGCGATTCCATTGACTCTCACAGCTTGTTAAAACATATGCTAGTGAAAACAGTTAATTGCTATATTCTTTACTGTTACATTAGTTAGGAAATGGCTTTAAACTTTTAAACCTTTTTTCTTCCATGTATTTATTCAATGGCTTACTCTACTGTTCAAAATTTTGGGCTCAGTAAAGTTTTTGAAAGAAATCTCTTATGCTCACCAAGACTACATTTATTTGATCAAAAATACATTAAAGCAGTAATATTGTACAATACTATTTTTACAATTACAATAACGGTTTTCTATTTTGATATATTTAATAATAGTAGGGATTTGTTTTTTTTATGCAATGTTTTCTAGATGACCTGTGCCCTGCGTGAGATGATGCTGAATGGCCAGTCAGCTGACGCCGTGGCATATGTGTTTCCAAAGCTCTTCAGCTCTCTACTGGTGCGTTTGGGCTCCAGTGTGGGAGTTCAGCTACCTAAAGATCTCAACAGCAACAGCATCATTTCAGACCGCAAAACAACCAACAAAATTAATGTGATCAATTTTGATGTGTGCGGGTGAGTGGCATAAATATTGGATTCAGAATTTTGATATCTCCAACAGTTTTTTTTATTTTTTATGATTGTGTTTTTTTTGTTTGTTAATTAATTATTAATTTTCTGCCTGTGTGCTTATTAGTTGTTAGCTTTGCAACATACTTTCAAATCGATCACTTATAAAGTCAGATGGTGAATTTGAAAGTAGCTGCTCTTGCAGACATCGCTAAGCTCAAAGTTAATAAGACATCTGTGTTTCTCTTTGCTGTGTGTTCAGGGTGGCAGTGGAGGCCCTGCGGATCCTGCTGGGTCGAGCTCAGCTGGACGCTGTCATGAAACCATTAGATCAGGAGGGAGCTTGGGACAAGATGAAGGACCCGCAGCAGCACACAACAGGAGTCACTCTGCTCTCCAGGTACACACACCTGTCCTCCATCATACCCCAGTCCTCTTGGACTGTTTGTTGTTTGCAAACTTTTCTACTTTGTTCTACTGTGGTAAAGGAGATCCGTATGACAGTAGACTTGTTCTTGAAGACACATGTTGTTGTTTTTATTTTTTACAATATTTTGTGAGCGCCACACGTCAATTTCAAGCTTTTGTAAACACGCATGGTCTCATGCCGTGGGTTCATGGAAATTGTTAAGTTCTGACCTATAAAAGTAAGATTTTGGAGCTAACATGCTGCTTTCTATCCCACTGTGGTAAGATTAAGTGTGATCTTCTACAATACTTAATTTTGAAGAAGCTGTTCTTTCTATCAGAGCAATGGCAAAGCATGCTGGTCCAAGACTCCCTGCTATTGTGGAAGGTCTGTGTCCTTCTCTCTGTAATATTTATGAGTGCCAGAGGATCACAGTCACAGCATTCTTCTCTGAGGTGAGAACATTTTATTTTGTTGTGTGATTTTAGTTATCTTAGTTCAAAAATTTCAAATTTTTGTTTTACAAGAGCACAGATTGTTCACTGTTTTTTTTTTTTTTTAAATAAGAGTGTAAGTGTTCAAATTTCTCACGGTTCGATTTGCACTACCCTTCAAAAGTTTGGGGTCAGCATGATTTTTTTTTTTATTTAAATAAAATTTGTATTTCAGTTTAGCAAGGATTCAATAAATTGCAAAATATTGCAAATATCAACCCGTATTGCTATTTATTGAACACATTTCTCATGAAAAAAATAATGATAATAATAATAAGCTTCATTTAATAGAATTTCAAGATTATAATAATGACAAGTAGGGATGCCACAAAATAAAAATTCTGGGCTAAAACCAAAACTGAAAATTCTGGATGCACTTGGCCAAAAACCGAAACCGAAAATGCTTTGTAATAATTATTTATTATTTTATTAAATAATATAAAGTAGTTTTTTTAAACTTTTGAATTTAACTAAATTTTAATGATACTGAATTTAAAAAACACAAGACAAGAAAATAAACACACTTTTATTGAAAGTAACACAATATAATTGGACAGAAAATATATTAATATAAAATATACCCTTTTCATATATTTTCAAAAAAAACAGAAAATGCCATATTCGGCCGATAATTTTTGGCGGCCAAAATTTCGGTGCATATATTTTCAGTTGTTTTTCTCTATGGGCCAAAAAAAAAAACAGAAAATGCCATATTCGGCCGATAATTTTTGGCGGCCAAAATTTCGGTGCATATATTTTCAGTTGTTTTTCTCTATGGGCCAAAAAAAAACAGAAAATGCCATATTCGGCCGATAATTTTTGGCGGCCAAAATTTCGGTGCATATATTTTCAGTTGTTTTTCTCTATGGGCCAAAAAAAAAACAGAAAATGCCATATTCGGCCGATAATTTTTGGTGGCCAAAATTTCGGTGCATCCCTAATGACAAGGCAAGCTTATTTTGCAATTGATAACCAAAAACTTTGACATGTTGTTGTATCTTCACCCCTTATACAGTAAATCCAATACAACTGAATTCAACACTACTGAGTGTATGTTATGTAAATATATATAAATTATTTCTGAGACGTTGTTAGATCATAAATGAACCATGCAACTGCAATGTACCAAACTGGGGGTGGGGAACCAGACAAGTCTTTTTTTTTTTTTTACAGGACCCTTTTCACCTTTATTTGAATGTGTACTAATAGCTGTTATAAATTAGACGTCAAGATTTATTTGTTTATTCCTTCAAGCTGCTGAACCACCATGTAGTGACTGAACTGATGATTTTGGACATGTTGATGAACAACATGATGGAAAGAATTACTGACACCTGCGGTACGGTTCGCATGCTGGCGGTCCGAGGCCTGGGGAACATTGCTGTGGGCTCACCTGAAAAGGTATAGACACTCTGCTTGACATCTGAAAACACTCATTGGATGAAGAGTCTAATTGATTCCTTGGGCAGTGATTCTTGGCAACAGTGTGACACACACATGGCAGCTTGTTTATACAGCAATCAGTAAGGACGTTTGCAGAAGTTTTCTGTATTCTGAAATGCTGCCTAACAACTGCTGCCTAAATGTTCCCCATGTTGTTTGCTTAAGATGCCCTGCTCTTGTTCTGCTCTGTTATTATTCTTTTCTTTGCACTTTGTCTTCTCTCTATAGTCGAGTGAAGTTTTGGTATTACATTCAACAGCAGTGTAACAAAAGCAGTCAGTTCAGTGTGTAATTATATGTTGCTATATGTTAATCTCACTGCCTCTGTTCCCATTCAGGTGAATAAATATGCAAAGGAGCTTTTAGCTGCCATGAGTTCAGGTATGGAAGAAAAGGACGATCCAGGGAAACTCATCACACTGGAGGCCATGTCTGGAATGTCCAAAATATTGCTTTACCTGGACCAAAAGAACGTCCACCTGCTTGTGGTTTACATCTTCATGAAGATTAAACCATTTCTGGAGAATGTGAGTTGTCTTGAGAGAAGACACTGAATATTTAAATCACAATTGACCCTTTGCCGGGAGTTTGATTGACAGGCGATCTGACCAATCATAACACCGAATCTGCCATTTTGTCTGACAAACAAACCAGACTGGAGAGTAGATTAACGTTGGTGGACTTGAACTTGAAAAATGGTGTGTATTGACATCTTTCTGCAGTTGAAACAAAAGATAGAATTTGATTTTCATTCATGTTTATTTCGTGCTATTAAACTAGTAAAGAGGAAGAGATGATCGGTTCACGTCCCGCTTAAACTGAATGTGTCACGACACATTAAAGAGCCAAAAAACGGTATTTATTGTTTGAATTTCTTTAAAAAAATGACCAAATTTAAAAGCTGACAGTGTCCACTTTGCTCTGTGATTGTATTTTTCACTGCGTGAGAACAGATGTGTGCCGTGATAGCGCCATGGCTTGTCGGACGTAGTAACAGTAATGAAGCGGGGCAGGTCTTTGCGAAGGGTCAATTGTGAAGCTACTATTTCCACAGAGTACTATTTATGCTGCTACTTTACTGATAAAATAGGTTTATTTGTATCACATTATTTTTTTAAAGCATAAAAAGACACAAATCTTGTGTTTTATTAGTAGCTAATTGTTATGTTATGTAAAACATTTACCAAAAACATTTTACGTGCGTTCTACATTTGGAACCCTTTATACAGCATAACGGGAGGACATAAATAATTAAATAAATAAATTATTAATAAAAATACATTTTAAAATTTGAAAGTAAAATCTAGTTTTCTATTAATAATTTAACTCATAAATTTCTTTATGAAAGATCTTTGCATGTTAGCACATGTTGTGTTGAATGCATACCATTTGCCCATTCTGGCATAGTTTTGTAAATTTTTTTTTCAAATGTAATACATTTTTGTCTGTTTAATTTTTATGTGTATTACAGCTTTGAACTGTACATGTATGTAGAGACATCCCTAATGTTAGTAATAGGGTAGTAAAAGTTTCAAACAAAAAATGAAATGGAAACGTATAATATTTAGTTTGACCTCCTGAAGCTTACAATCAACACACTAAAGGGTTAAACACCTACATTCACTGACAATTTTATGAAGACGTATGATTTGAGAAAATTTAGATGTTTTAGGCCCAATTGCATTCTGTTAGTAAAAATAGTGAATTTTTTTGGTAAATACAGGCTATTAGAGAACAGTGTTTTAGTAAGCATGGGGTTTTTGTTGTTATATGGCTTTACTCAAAGATCCATTGTTATGTTCTGTCAGGAGAACGATGAGATCCGATGCGCTTCCATCATGCTCCTGGGGAACCTGTCGAAGTTCGGTTCGGGTGAGCCCGTCTTTAAAGACCAGATCCACAATGTTCTGGTCAGCTTGCTGTTGCATCTCAGTGACCCCAACCCTCAAGTGGTCAAGGTCAGAGTTTAGTCCACACACACTCCTACAAAGATTGATTTTGTTGTAATGGCTATAAATATTGAAAATTAGTTACAACATTGATGCAAAAAGTAGAGTCTTTCTAGAGTAATTATAATAAGAGGATATTTTTAAGTCTAAAAGCATGATGTTTGCTTGTGTGTGAGTTTAGTATATGTCTCTTTGTTCCCCTAGGCATGCAAGTACTCCATGCGCATATGTGCTCCAATCGTAGGTTCAGAACAGATCTCTGCCATGTTCCAGAATCATCTTCTTGAGGAGAAGGGTCTGCATTATGGAGAGTTCATTAATGACCTCACTAAATACCTAGTACGGCAAGAGCCAAAGATTTCTTTATTATAATAACACTTTATTACAGTCAAGAATAACTGACTCGGTGTGCTTATGTGTTGACAGATTCCCTTTTATAAAGAATGTTATTATAACTGCTCTGTCACATTTGTATGGATTTTTTAATACTCAATGTTTTTTCTGTTGATGTTTTTTTTACTAATTGAATAGTTTACCCAAAAATGAAATGCTGATTTCTCCTGAACTATGATCTGTTTGATTAAGCTAAAGAGAAAAAAAAGGTATAATGTGTTTTCTCAAAGATCCAGGATTTTCCAGGCATGCTGAACTTCTACCACATCACAGTCATTCAGTTCTTCAAGAGTAACTGGGCTGAGATCAGAGCCAGTGCTGCCATGTTTATTGGTAAAAATAATAATAATATATACATTTTTTAGTTCAGTGTTTAGTATTGCAAATATTTGTGCTTCACTGAATGGTTGTTTTTTATACAGTATTTTTTTTTTTTAAATCTAGTATTTATGTTTTTTTCCCTACTATTATTTTGTGTTGGTTTTGTAACCGTGTGTGTGTGTGTGTGTGTGTGTGACTGTTTAGGGTTTTTGCTGGGGAACCTTCATGATGAGCATTTCTCCCATATGAACATGGGGTCAGTGACCAAAGGTAGGTACCACAGTTCTATAATAATATCTGCAGTCAAGAGATATATTTAAAGGAGAGCACATCATTGTTATCTTGCTACATTTGTTGTTTCATGGCACCTAAGGAATCTATTATTTTTGCTTCTATTTTAATGGCGATTTTGTCTGGTAAAATGCAGTGTAGAATATATTGCTGTTGTAACTCTAACACATAAATGCACTATGCATTTGTTTGGTTATAAACTGACTTGTATGTTCAATCTGTTTACTTTGATTCATGGACAAACTAAAAGACTGTTTTTCCTTTCCTCATGTCCTTTTTTCTCTCTTCAGGTCTGGTGATGCTGCTGCAGGATCCAGATCCTCTCGTGCGAGTGAAAGCCGCTGAAGCCATGGGTCATTTTCACTGACGTTACCTCCACTCTATAACCAATCAGATTAGTCTTAGATTTTTGTTGCTTTGAATTGATGTGTTATAATAAACCTTGAAAGGTTTTTATTATTGACCAAAGACTGTGCACTAATTCTGAATGAAAGGAGAAGAATAAAATGGAGAATTTATTGATGTTACAGCACTTTTAAGTTTCACCAGTGGCGCTTTTTAATGTGAGGTATGTACCTGTAAGCCCTTTAAAAATTAGACTTACAAAATTGTACGCAAGTACACTGATATTGCTGATATTACTTGCTTGACCATTCCTGTAGCGTGCTAAATGCATATCACCACTTTAAATCATTCAATCATTAAAATGTATGTAGGATGAATCAATAGATTTTAAACCAAAACCAAAAAGGTTATTCTGGTAATTAAATCAAATGTAGTGCTCAGTTAGAGTTTGATCCCATAAAATCAGACCGTTGAGTCATATTGACCACCATAAACCTTCAGCAATAAATCACCCTAATAGGGATGTGCATTAGCATTAACCGCAACTGTAATCTCCTTTTGTGAAATCACAATCAAAAATGATATTTAAATAAGCATTTGTAGTGTTTTTGCTGTGACGTCTGTGGCTCTGAATATGTCTCATGCACTAGTGGAGCAAACACAATTGTGCTTCCTTCTCGACCAAGTCATAAAAGTAGATAAAAACTGTGCCAAAACAGAGATTTGTAAAGAATAAATTGTATTAGAGTAGATGTTTAAAGATTTCTGACATGTTTCATACTCATTTTGTGAAGCGTCTGTGTAGCTGAAACACCAGTGCCGGCCTTTCTATGGCACTTGTCTTGTTCCGTTTTGTAAATTGTATGTTAATTCACAAGTGTGGCCACTGTTTCAGAGTTTGAGCATGAAGAGTGTTGACATAAGTCAGTTAAATACTTTTTTTTTTTAAATCATCTTAATAAACAGGACAAAATTGATGATGGTTTGGTGAATCAACTACTTCTACAAATTTGGTACCTACTGTGCGGTGCCCTGTACAGTAGAAGTGGTTAAACGTACTATATAGAAATAAATCGCAATCAGAGAATTCCGATTCTCTATGAGATGCTACATAAACACAAAGTCGTAAAATAAAACAGTTCATGAAGTGGGTCTATTTCAGTGTAAATGACCTAAAAAAAAACTGCTAATTAATATTGAATGAATATTGGCATTAAAGAATTAAGCAACAAAACCTTTGTAAACTGCATTGGTGTGACTCTCAGTGAGAAATAGTAAAATATTATATTTTGTCTTGGTATATACACTACTGTTCAAAGGTTTGGGGTCATCAAGTCTTATTTATTTATTTATTTGAAAGAAATTAACACTTTTATTCAACAGGGACACATTCAATCAATCAAAAGTGACAAAGATGTTTATAATGTTACAGAAGATTTGTATTTCAAATAAACGCTGTTCTTTTGATCTACCATTTCATTAAAAAAAATCCTTAAAAAATATATCATGTTTTCCACAAAAATATTAAGCAGCACAACTGTTTTCAACATTGATAATAGTAAGAAATGTTTCTTGAGCATCAAATCAGCATCGAAGAATGATGTGACACTGAAGACTGGAGTAATGACTGATGAAAATAAGTTCATTGCAATAGAAAATAGTAATTTAAAATTCTAAAAATATTTCACAATATAACTTCTACTGTTTTTTTTTTTAAATCAAATAAATGCAGCATCTCAAGAATAAGAGACTTATCAAAAACATTAACAAATCTTTCTGATCCTAAACTTTTGAATGGTATAGGCCTATCTATAAATTGTTTTCTGCAAAACTGTGGATCCAGTTTGGCGTTATGAAGAAGAACTGAAGCACTGGGTGCAGAGAGTAAAAACAAAAATGATTACAAGTCCTCTGTTGCTCAGTGTTGAATATGTATTAGCACAAGTCAGTCAAATTAAAGTGTTTACTAAGGACACAGACCATTAATCTGAACACTTTAGAATTGAGCAATTAGTGGCAGTTATTCCATTTGGTCAGGAACCCAGTGTGGTAATGATATTGGAATTCATTCCTGGGTAAGTCACAGAAAGATTGTTTTTGTGCCGGGGATGGCTTTCAGAGCAATCAAGCTGCCACTGAAAGTTTCTGCTGGGCGTGGTGTCATGTTTGCATCACATTAACTTGTTTTTGTATATGTCTTTTGTTTCTTTTTTAGACAAAATTGTTTTGTATCATGTAAAAGAGCTGATCTCTGGATGATGGAGATGAGAATATGTACTAATGAGTCATTAAAGTTATCATACATGACAACCCGGGAATTGTCGTGTTGTTTTAATTGATGAGTTCTGAAAAATTTCTAGAAAATCCAACTAAAATACAATTTCCATATAGATCTATGTATATATATTAGTATTAATAAATAAATAAATTAATACTTTTTTTAATTGTAGTCAACACTCTCAGAAAAAAACAAAAGCTGTCACTGGGGCACTTTCAAAATATAGAGGGGTTGTTAAATTATGTCCTTAATATTCTTATTGTTCGATAATCGTATTAAAAAAAGAAATGAGAGACTATGACCATACTATACTGACTATTCATAGCACCTCCTCCTGGTAGTACGTTGGACAACTATATAAATATCATATGGTATTCTTTAAATAAAATTGTATTTATTTATTTACATAAAAGTATCATGACGTTAGCATCTGATACCATCCTGTTATGATCTCACAACAGCACTTTCCTGTACAGTGGAACAAACTGTGTATTTCACTTCCAGAGGTAGCCACAAGAGCCCTCCACAATGTGTGTTAAAAGAAGCCCCATGACACACACTTCCAGCACAAAAAGCTGACTAACAACATAAATGACCGTTCTAACTGAATGAGATTGCTCATCCAACAATAATTCTACTGGACCAAAAGGTCAAAGCTACCTTGATTAGATTCTGATTTTCAAAATCACATTACATTTGCAGGCAAAAAATTTTAGCTGCTGCTTTTTCATGAAATATCGCCTTGGAGTTTAGTTAAACATTTTGTTTAAACGGTGTAACCCACAGTGAGTAAAGTTGTATTTCTTGACTTGATCCAGGCCTTTTGCTTAAATTCACAACCCCAAACCCAATATATTTTTCTTAACAGAAGCTTTAAGATGATATACAGGTAACATTATAAAATAAATTCCACTTAGATCAATATTTCATGTCCGCGAGTGAGTGAGTAGATGCTCTGCGTCTGGGTTTGTTTTGCAATAATCACCTATCATGTATGGTGATTGTATAGATGCATGTATCATAACATCTTTTATTAATATATGTACTACACACATTATTTTAGGCAATGCTCAGTTTTATAGAAAGTCTACAAAGCTGTAGATATAAAACTCTCTATCTATCAAGACTCTTTGGCCAACACTATTAAAAATAAATGTTCCAGAGGGTTTTTTCTCTGCGATACAATAGAAAAAAAACATTTAGTGTTCCCCTAAGCTTTCAGTGAACAGATTTTAAAAGAACCATTTTTTTTAGTGTGAGGAACATTTTAATAATAATCTGAAAAAACTTTTTCTATCTGAAGTTTCCATAGATATTAAAGGTGCCAATAATAAAACTTTATTTTTAAGAGTGAAGAAAAGACCGGGGTAATGGCTTGACTGGATCTTTTTGAGGCAGTTTTGCATTTTAATAAATCTGATCCATATGTCCTGGGTATTATTTGGTTGGTAATGCTTTTTAAAAAAAAATAGGAATCACTACTGTTAATAGAGCCTTACTTAACCAGAAATCTCTCTCTCCTTTAAACTAATTAAACAACATTTTATCAAAAGGACTCTTAAATTGTTTTCAGTAGTTGGAGAGGACAAACGTCCTTCAGGGAGAGAGGAGAGTTATTTTGTCAAGAGAACATTCAGAGAATTACTCTGCCTCTCCAAATTAAACGTCTGGTTGAGCCACTCAGAATCAATTTAAAGTGTCGCTCTGGTAGAGGACAAGCTACCTTTGCGTGTTAATAACTGTCAATTAATGAATTCAACTCTCAGATGGTTAAACTCATCACAGCTCTGCGCCGTTGTCTAATATGAATGCTAATGATGTCAAGATCTTCTGAGAGGCAAACTTCAAATGTTGAAATTACTCATAATGGTTCAGAAATATGTGTCTAAGGAGTGGACATCCAGTTTGGAGACTAAGAGTTGATAATTGCATGCTGCTGTGATGTCAGCATGTTCTGATTCCAACTCAGGATCACAGAGAAAAGTTAGCCTCTGTTTGGGTCAACAACGAGGCATTTGGAGAGACTGAGAGAGAGCGATTAGCCTTGCATTCCTGGACAAATTACAGATTCAAAGACAGAAAGAGACCTGCGTCAAACACCTGCATCTTATTAAATTCAGTCAGTCGTTATTAGCTGTTTTAGGCCACTGAAAATTGTACATTAATGTATCTTGTACATACAGTATAGTTTTATTCCTTGTGAACTTGATCGCTTGGTTTTCCATCATGTATTCTACATTGTTGCTGCAAATTCTGTTGATTTTTCATCATCAGAATTGCTAAGAATGTCGTGTACGCCAAAAAAATAAAGAAAATGTATTTTTAATAAAAATAAATATATAAAATACAAATATAAATATTTCAGGCAATAATTGCAAACAAATGCTAAAAATAAAAAAATTTCATTCTTTTGTGGTTGTGAAAATGTTGTTCATTTGGAAAAATGCCTTATTGTTAAGTTCTTATCATACATGAAATCAGCAGTAAAATCTGACAACAATCATTATTATTGATGTAGCGCAAATCTGGTTCAGCTAATGTACATTTGCCTTGTACAGTAAACAAAATTGCGACTCACTATCCTATAAGACATGACTTCATTCTTACTGTCACCATACTGAACATATTTTATGTTCCTTCCCCTTATAATCTGTTATTTTATTAAAATATGCCGGACCAAGGTGCTGTCTTGCATTCATCCTATAAGACATGACTTCATTCTTACTGTCACCATACTGAACATATTTTATGTTCCTTCCCCTTATAATCTCTGTTATTTTATTAAAATATGCCGGACCAAGGTGCTGTCTTGCATTCCAACTTCCCCCAGTGTGACTAGATGAACCTGGGTCCAGTTCGTTTGCTGGAAGTGGCCTAATACATCCTCGTTATGTTGCTGGAAGGACTGTTGAGTGATGCTGAGCTCACCAATGATCCCACATACACATTCGGCTGCTTGTTAGTCAGAGGAAGGCAGAACAATCGAGAAGTGTAAGAGTAAGAAAAGGCGAAGCAGACACAGAGAAAGATTAAAGTTTGTGCAGGTCAGACTGATGCTTGCGGCCCTCCGTGTCCTGAGTTGGCTGCTTGTTAGTACGCTAGGACCCCTGTCTTCCTTCGCCTCCCATCCCCTCCATCTCTGCTGCCCCGTGTGCTCCTGGATGGCCAGGGGTCACTCCCAGCCAATTTAGAGTGATGCACATCTACTGTCAACCGCCAGCTTCCACACCGAAAATAATTACAGAGTGAGCATCTGCTGTCCCTGAGAGACGAACAATAGAGTCTGACACGAGCAGGACGGAGAAATTCCACACTCTGTTTCTCTTTCCCCCCCTAAATGGTGGAGCAGGCCCAGAGGAGGCTATAGAGAGAAACACCTGGTGAAATTCTCCCTAAGTGATCTGTGCATATGCTTAATAACTTCGCTCTGTAGTTAATTGGAATAATTGCCCGGAATGCTCTCAGAGAAAAAGAGCGCGGGATGCCCTGAGGAGAAAGGAGGGGGGAAAGACTGCAGCACATGCAAATACTTCACATGTTTCTGTCAACTCAAGCTCAAAACACATATAGGCTGTGTCTGAAACCTAAGGCCCAGTAAGTTGATGGCTAGAAAAGGCAGCGTTTGTAAGGAAAATGGGTTCAGAGAGGCTCCCAAGGAACTATAATGTCAAGTCTATTGATCTAAAACAATTTTAAGTG